ATTTATTCATTTGAAATTGGGACTCGATATTTAATGGGCTAAAAGCATTTTATCATAATATGAATCATGACATAACAGTATATATATATATATATGACAGTATAACATTTATGAATCTTGTTTGAGTTTGACATTAAATTGAGCTCTGCCTTTGATGAACTCGAGATTACCTAGGTAACGGCTTGTGACGTAATGTGTTCAGAACTTAGAACTTACTGTACTGTGATGCGAACAGAATTTAGAACTTAGATCTCAGGCATCATAATGGAAGTAGATTAGAACAGTTGTTGGTTAGAGAGAGAGCAGTCATTTCAGTACACCAAGAGCTGACAATTGGACACACTGAGACACCGAGAAGCAAAATACCCATTGCACTTGCAAAAAGTACCCTGAAATTTCACTGATGGAAGTTTTACAGACCCCACCTTTTATGGTGATACGTCACTTATTTGTAAGTTTTTTCAGGAAGCACAGGGCACAGAGATGTACTGGCTGGAGCAAGATGCCCAGCAGTTTCAGACGGAAGAGATCCCTCTGGATCAGAAAGAATCCAGAGAATAAGGTTTATTGCCAGGTAGGTTTTTACAGTGCAGTATACAATAAACATATTAACAGGAAATAACAATAAAAAGGTAAAATACTGCAACAGTCAAAAAAATAAATATACATAGATAAAAATAAAATAAATATTATAAATAAAAAATAAAACAATGAAAAAAAGTACAAAAGTGTTGACAAAACTCCTGCTGAGCAGGATGTGTAAAAGATCACAGTATAGACAATATATGTTCTGTGCAGGGATAATACTCCAAGGTGTTACTGTAATGTGGTTGTTGATGATTGATGAGGCCAGATGCAGAAGAAAAGGCAGGTGCTGGTCCATCACTGGGGAGGACTGGACTGGAATTCTGGTCCTGATACACACAAACATGTGATAGGACAATTGGTTTAGATCATACAAGTTCTTTATACTCAAACATGTTAGATCTGTTGTGTGTGTATATAATAAGTAGTAAGGATAGATTTGAATATGCTAAAATAAATACAGTATTAGGCAGTGGATCCTGAACCTGCTGGCTCTGGATCAAACAGTTTCTTTGTCTTACTTGTAAAAAAAAGTTACTGATGCATCCAGCTGGACAACAGCCACAGGAACAGGCTAAATTCTACTAAATCACTAAAACGTCAACATCATACATTTATGCCACTTGAAGTGTTTGTCAGTACGGTTTGTCATTTGCACTAATGATACTTTTCGCTACAGACCAACATTAGATGTTACTCACCCGTCTAAAAGAAAAGTGTCATCTCTTCACTCGCCCAGAGCTGTCTCCTGCAGTGGAAAAACACACCAGCATTCACCTGTGCTTTGCTTCTTTGCCGTTGAATGTGATTTCTTGTCTGCGTGGTTCTTCGGGAAGGAGATAAAGATCGATTTCTAGGCACTTCAGACATCTCTGCGTTTCTGTGATGCTCGTTGGCACATTTTTAAAAATGTTTTATTTAGTTGGGAACTGTAGTGTAACTTCAAGCTCAGGAGGAAGCTCTTCTTCTCCGTGGGACTGAGGGCAGACTAGACACTACACTGACTGGCACAGCATCTAGTGTGTATAGGTGGTATTACAACACAGTCCGGGACGCGGCTAGTTGGTTAGCATGCTCATTTCAGTAGAAATACAATAGATGGTCATCACTGTGGCTCCTTCACATACTATTGATGGTGTTAGTTCAGTTTTTTTTTTATGATTTTAAACTAAAATTGCTACACATTGCACCTTTAAGCAGCAAAAAGTTTGAATGGCTGAAGTTGTGGTGACAGCTACAAGGCAATATGCTCTACAAAAAGCCTCTGTACTGACAGAGGCCACCATGATGGACCTTTAGCTAATTTGCGTAATTAGCTAGAACTCGGCTGCTTTGTTGAGTGCAAAGGGGTCAAAACCCGCAAGTTGCCACACGTGGCTCTAATTTCATTTATTATTAAAATAATGAAAATAATGATCAGAGCAGTGAGAAGTGAAAATGTGAACATCAGCACGATCTTACACTGACACAACAAACCAGGCAAGTACTGAGGTGTTTAATAAATAACAGCATGAACAACACAACAACAATAACAACAACATTAAAAGCTTGAATTCATTTTGTATATATACACATACCGTATATATTTCCATATTTGACTGTATAAACCATAAATATGACATGCAGTCCTCATAACTTAAAACAACCAGGACTTCTCGGACTGAGGTAGGGTCAGGGGCCAAGAGGTTGGATAGATGAAGCTGTTTGTGTGTGTGTGTGTGTGTGTGTGTGTGTGTGTGTTTGGAGGTGGGGGGGGGGATTACAGTATTGGCAATAAAGCTGCAGTGGCTGTTTGGGAGAAATGTGTGTGCTTGGTTCATAGTTCAGTGGTCAGGAGTCGTCCTCCTCAGTCAGTGCCCCAGTCGTCCCGCCCAAGACTTCCGACTGAGAACACACACACATGCGGCGTTGATGCGGATGAAACGCCAGGCTGTCCGTTCCTTGAAGATGGTGAGGGCGCTTACGAATATGTGTGTGTTGGTGCAGTAGGAGTTCCAGTGGCGACTATC